TGAAATAAAGGCGCGAGGGCACGAATCCTCTTGAGGTTTTTCATACCTCATTGAGGTCTATCTATCACCAAAAGATGGGATCTAAATCGCTTAATCACCTAAATATGTTCCCTCGTAAGTCGAGTAATGATAATTCTATTCTGTCTCGTCTTTCATATCACAATTATTGTGTTCAGACGAATATCAGTGTGAAAAATTCTGTTCTTCTCGGTTCAAAGAATACAAATATATCTGTGCAGAATCTTTTGCTGAATTTATTTGTCCAAGACCGAAGGACCAGTATTAATTATTCGACATATTTTCAGCAATGTTCTCCTTCATTTTGCACTTACACAACAACGGACGAAAGCAATATTTCCTATACAATTACGTATATGGATAGATATAGATTCTCTTTTATTGTTTTTTTTATTATTAGGTTCAATGATCACTCTTTTTCTATACACTACACTCACCAGTCGCCTAACCATCGTCAACATTCGTCATCCGCCATTAAACGCTTCCAGTAACTTACAGGTCTTATACTTCGATACACTTCGATGTCCCTGTACCAATACGAACACATTGTATCGCACATTCCTCTCATTATCTCCAGTATTCCATCAAGTATGTTCGAGTGATTTTGTCACGGATCGATGACTTCAAATACTAAGATACGCCTATAGCTTTGACATGAATTTTGACTGGCGCAGTAGATCCTTCTCACAATTTCAGTTGTTATCTAGTCTTTGTCAATTTGCAAATCAAACAGCTAATGATGCAATTCGTCGTTTTCTCGCTAGATCGTTTATTACTTCGAATGTATTGACCGAATTCGATTTTCAAAAGCAGATAAATACCATTTTGACTGAATTTCTACAATTAGCAGTTATCTACTTTGACCTTTTTGTCGAAACAACAGATCTTCTTTTACAAATCGATCAACCATTTATGGGATCACTGTACAATACCTATGTTAAAGGAGATGGAACCTTACTCTTCACTCCATTAGAACTTGAAGTAAATGGTTCAAGGACCACTCAGGTATGTCAAATGGAGAATGATCAACATTGATCTTCTTTCTTCCGCTGAAGACGGATGCGTATTCAGCGATTCGATTGTTTCGTTTCAGTTAATTCTGCATATGTATGGCACCCGTGACGTCTATACAGGAACGATTAGTTATATCTGCGCAACTGATCCTTCTTGTCGAAACGCGATGGCTATCTACAACGACGAACTTGATGATTACACAGCCGATCCTGTCCGTGTCAACTATGTAGTGCCAGGTTTCCGTGCAGCTTGTTTCCTCTTGAAATCTCTTCGTCTCTCAATTCTCGAATGTTCATATTCTACTTCGGAATGTTTCCCGATTCTAATGAATTACATTCACGAGATATATACTTTTAATGTTGAAGGTCCGGTGTGGTTCGATGCTCGAGCTCTTGTTTTCAATTCCACATCGAGTAAATTTCCTCAAAAGATCGAAATATCAAAAATAATCAGTGAAATCATGGTCGAAGAATGGAATCCCTATATCTTCTATAAGCATTTTTACGAATCATGTGCACGTAGTCATTGTTCTTATTCCGAAAAAGTCCACACAAAGACGGCGTCCACAATTGTCATCACTTTAGTATCCGTGATTGGTAGTGCTAGTTTTCTATTGCATTTACTAACACCTTACCTTGTCAAGCTTTTGATTCGTTTATTCACAAGGAGGAAACGAAGACCACAGCAACAAGGTAATCTTCTACTCTTTCTTTCGCTTAGAAGAAAAGCATATAGTATGAATGACATAATGATATTTTGTATATAGCCCGAAGGGAATTATTCAAATATTTTAAGATCATCATACAAGAGCAGACCGTACGGTTGTACAATACTGCAGTCGATCTCAACATATTTCTTGTGCGCCATTTTGGAAATAACATCAGTTGCGCTACAGCCAAACGTCTCGATCAATGGGCTACCCGCTTGTTCCTTCTGTTACTCGTTGTTGTGCTCGTGATCACGGCTCTATATATGCTTATTCAGTCACAAGCGCTTACGAAAACTTTCGATAAGCCATCCTTCGATTTCTACACGCAGCTGAAGTGTCCATGTTCGTCGGTGGCATCGATTTATAATCAATTTCTTAGTATTGATCTTGATTTTCATCAGGTAATTCCAGATTAGTGTAATGTAGATTGGAGACTTGAATTGATGAATTGTAGTTGTGCTCAAGGGAGTTTATCCTGGATGAATGGAGAAGTAATCTGACTGCTGGTCTCGCCGCTAACCTATCCATATATTCACAGAGAGATTATCGTCGGTTTCTTTCGGCTCATTTGCAGTTCCTTGAATTCAGTCAATAGTTTGATTCAACAGTTTCTTTCCTCATTATTCATCAGCACACAATTGTTGTCTGAAATTGACTTCAATATCCGCGTCTCGTCTTCGATAAATCAAACTAAATCCAATGTGCCTATTTCATTGAATCACCTTCTTTCTTTAACGCGTATCATCAATCATGGAAACGTCATCATGTCCAATTATGGAACTGACTTCGAGTATATACAAGACAAAGAGTATTCAAGCACACAGGGTGTTACCTACGACGATGATTGCTCTTGTGACCTATCACCAAACTGTACGACGCAAGCGAATTTTATCGAACTGAATGTTTCACGAAAAGTGCCAATCATAGGCATGAAAATCGGGTGTAGACCAACTGATTCATTTCGTTTGTCAACTCTCGAATGTTTCTTCGATCAGGTATGTCTTGACCATGTCCAATACTATCAGGGTGACCAGATCTTCCGCTTTTTGCGGAAAATTTCCTCTTTTCGGCCTTTTTTCCGCAGTTTTTCCGCACTTCCGCTTTTTTCCGCTTTTCGCTGAAAATGTGAACATCGTTGTGGAAAGACTAGAACCAGTGGACCAAATAAAATTCGAAATTTCGATGTTTGACTCAGAAGGTTTCTTTCTCAACGCCAATTGGCTAAACAGAGTAGCCAC